TCTTAAACTATCCTGGATTTTTACCAAACATGGACAGAAGTTTGTTTATGATCAAAAGCTAGTATCTAGAAGGAAATTTTTATTAAAATTTTGTAGTTTGTTTATCCATATTTTACTTATGAATGGACTTAGTTTTTCTTCCAGTTAACATTTTATTACATACAGTCTGCAGTTAAATTTTTTAAAACATTTATTAGATTCATAAACTATCCTGGATTTTTACCAAACTTGGACAGAAGCTTCTTACAATAAAAAAATTGTATCGAGAGGAATATTGTTAAATTTTTTCCTCATCTCATTTTTGTTGAGCCTGCGATTAAGAGCAAAAGTAGCCGAGACACTGGGTTCCGCGGAACCCTTACGAATTTTTTATCATTGTGACGCTTCATTTTTGGTTAGAATCGTGTAACACATTAAGCTCTTGAATGATTCGGACTGTTATTTTCCTTTGGGTTTCTCGGGACTATCTACCAGTGTGAAACATCTCTCCATTTCTTGTAAAATTCCGAATAATTCATGAATGCAATTTTACAATGTCTGGTGAAACAATTAAATTTGTGACGCAAGGAAAAAAAACTCTAACAACTAAAATGAAAACCGGAACATTATGCCTTTTGCATATATTGTGAACAAGACTTCCATTTAACGTGATGGTGGATGTTCCTCACTTTCTCATCAACTTTGAATCATGGTTTTGCTGAATAAAGGAAATCATGTATTTGTTATTGTGTGCCACTCCCAAGGGTGGCTGGGGAATAGAAATATGGTCACTACAGGTCTTCTTCCGACCGGCAGTAAAATCCTTGCCAAAGTGAAGCATTCGTTTGGCTGTGCGGGTTGTACAAGTATGCAGCCACGTCCGATCAGAACGGGGACGTTAAATCTGATGCCTGGTGTTCAAAGAGTGCCATGCGCTCTGCACGTTTAGAGCCGTAGTAACAAATCTTTTAGGGAACCGTAGGTGGCCTGTTGCAATGCTAAATGTCTATCCCATATCCAATATACCCTAATTTTCCAGTGACATAAATTTCCCCGACCTTCATCCCGAACGGCCTAAATCAAATTAAAGGATCTAACTGTTGTATTTACTGTTTATTTGTTTTTGCATGAAATATTTGCCACTGGACATTAAGCAACCAATAATCAGTCAATCATATCACTGTGTGCCTGGTTATTATAAAATTTTACAGAGAAAATATTATTACTGACAAAATACACAAATTACGGAAATCTTAACACCTTTTTACTGATTGCACCAAAAGGGGGTTGGCATCTATGTGTCAGTCATTTTTTTCAATTTTTTTTTGCATGTTAATGCTGTTAATATTTAAGGAAATGTTTGATTTGCATGATTTGAACATCCACATTATAAAAATGACTGTTCTTTAAGTTCACATGTGTTGGTGTTGCTTGATCATACAAAAAATTACCCTTCTGTAGGTTCTGGACAAGACTTGATTTTAACACCAGTAATAATAAAATTCAACCATTACAGAAATGATTCAAGCAGTAAATTTTTTTTTTCAAGATCAAGCCAAAAGTGTTAAGGGGATTTCTTGGCCTCAGGCTCTAGAAATTTTCAGTCCCTGTAATAAAATTAAAAAATCAGTTCATTTATCATACAGTAATTATAATACTGTAAGGACTAAACAGGGCAGGCTTTGATTGTGAAAAGGGAGGAAGGTTTGGAAGATATAGTAAAGTTTTTTTTTTGCATAGCTGAATAATGTGAAACTGGCACTGAAAGAAAAAAAAAGATGTTGGCCTTCATTTTATTTGAAGGTGCTTGATATATATATTTGAAAGCTAAACATTGTACATATATATAAAAGGCAAAACAATTTTATAATTTTTTAATCATGAAAAAGATGAAATAATATCAGTGTGGCAAATGTTGTGTTTTTATTTTATTGTCTTTAAGTCATTTTTTCTCACTATTCTCATTAACTCTTTATTGCAGTCTAATGAATATAAATACAATAAGACATTGTATGTAGAAAATGCAAAACAGTGGACTATAAATCATGCTGTCGAGAAAAATGTAAGTGGTATAACTCCTTGATTTAGGACTTTGGTACCACAGCATGTCATATATATATTGCAGTAGAAGAGAGGGGAAAGTTACCAAAGGGACATTCAAACTCATAAGTCCAAAACAAACTGAAGATGTCATGGCAAAAAAACGGAAAACGACCAAAAAACAAAATAATCAACAAAACACAACAAAGAAAACTCAAGACGGAGTTAGGGGCGATCTCATGTACATGTGCTATGGAAGAGTAAGAATATCTTCTCCACATGTGACGCCTGTGGTATTCCTCCTATAAAATATGAGCTGCGTCAGATAGAAAGGGCCCTTATGCAAGTGCAGGTATGCATGTTGAAGTACTTAAATTGATTTTAGAACATTCAAATACGAAATAAAAGATGAAATTAGGTCTGTTCTATATAGGTCTGATAACAACTCAATTTTCAAACAGTTACAGACTTTCCATAGAGATTTTTTCAACCCCAAATAAGTTAAAAGATATATTGATATTCATTTGCATCAGGTTTATTTCTAACCGAAGCAGCTTGTATGTTGATCAAAAAAGTTTACATTACTGTTTGGTGTTAAATATACAAATTGCTGTACAAAATCTTTTGTCATATGCATATTACTAGAATTTTAGCAAAGATAAAAGGAATGGCAACAGAAACTCATTATGTCATGCCACACCATGTTGATATAGATGTTTGTTTCCAATTTTTGTCTCGCCTTGACAGAGTAAAAAAGCGAGACAAAGGTATGTTGTTTCCAGCGTCGGCGACGGCGGCGTCTACAATGTATTAGTTTGTGATTAGATCTACTTTATGGGGAACCACTAGTGGTAGGTCAATGATATTTGGTATGCAGTTGTATTAGCATTGGCACATCTCATTACCATGCAGATTATTTGGCCCTACCCCCTCAGTCACAGTCTATTGACTTCTAAACTTTGCTTAGTTTACATGTATTAGTTTGTGATTAGGTCAGTTTATGGGGAACAACTAGTGGTAGGTCAATGATATTTGGTATGCAGTTATATAAGCATTAGCATATCTCATTTCCATGGAGATTTTTTGGCCCCTCCCCCTCAGTCATGGTTTATTGACTTTGAAACTTTTGCTTAGTTTTCATGTATTAGTTTGTGATTAGGTCAGTTAAAGGGGGACGGTTAGTGGTAGGCCAATGTTAATTGGTATGCAGTTGTATAAGCATTAGCACATCTTATTTCCATGGAGAATATTTGGCTCCGCCCCCTCAATCATGGTCTATTGGCTATGAAACTTTTGCTTAGTTTACATATGTATTAGTTTGTGATTATGTCCGTTTAAGATGAACCACTAATGTTAAGTCAATGATATTTTGTATGTAAATGTATTGGCTTTGCAAGTTTCATTTCCATAGAGATTATATAACCCCACCCCCTCATTATGGTTCATTGACTTTGAAACTTTTACATAGTTTACAAGTTAATGTTTGTGTTTAGGTTTGTTTAAAGGGAACGACTTGTGAAAAGTCAACGGTATTTGGTATGTTTAGCCCTGTACCTTCAGTCATGGTTCATTGACTTTGAATGTTTGCATAACTTACATGTTAAAGTAATGCTATTTCAATTTCAACATTTGCATTATCAAAATAACAAATAGGCGAGACATATCTCTGTGATAACAGTTTATTCTAAATAGCAATGCAAATTCCTGTTAAGTTTGAATTTTTTGTAAGTGGTTTATTTTGCTTAATTTTGAAAGTACTTTTTTAAGATGAAATTGCTAAAAAAATCATCTAGTCTTAATTTGTTCTTTGCAAAAGATTAGAATCACAGAGAGTCATAACACGAAAACTTAGTCTCAAAATAGATTTTGCGCCTAAAATCCCAAATTTTAATTGCTGAACTGATACCTACAGTTGCTAACCTATTGTCATTCGGTCACTGGTGGAATAATTGTCTCATTGGCAATCATATCACATATTCTAATTTTATGCTGATACACCTGGTTTAAAATTACTATTGTTTGATTGGTGAAAGTTTTTATTTACACAAAATAGACCATAGGTCATGTAGGTCTGCTTTTAGAAACAAATGTGAATCTTGATTTAGTCTTAAAATTGGAGGCAACCACACTCAGATCATACACTTTCAATTGTATTTGCTAATGCAGTGTATATTTTTCTTATATAAATCTACAGGTCAGTGAAGAAAATCCAATGAAAGCTAAATCAGTCACAGACACAGGAGTTAAGCGTACTCAACCCATGTGTGATGTTACCAACAAAAAAGCAAGAGATTCTTGACAATGCTGTTGGATGTTGACTTCAATTTTATAATTGCCATCTACTGTGATGTGATCACTGGTGATCATACCTGTGTTGGACATAGGACACTTAAAAAAGTCTTGCATCTATATTGCTACATATATATGTCATTGAAATAAGGTGTATACAAATATCTTTTTAAATTTGAACAATGTTTTTAAAGCCTATGGACTTGAATAATTCATAGATATCAAGTCTTACTTTTGTGGCTGTCCCTTATACATTCATGAAATTAATTATAAAAAAAAATGATTCCAAGAAAAGCTGTCAATAGAAGTTTGTTCAAGACTGTGGAATCATTATTATTCATTGGATACCAATTTTCATGGATATTTGAACCACGAAGTTTTAATGTTCATCAAATGACAAATTTTCTATAGGCTTGTATGCAGACTTCGCCAAAAAAATGAAATTAGATATCCATGAACTTGAAAGTTTTCTTTAATCCATGAAAAATTGGTACCCATGAAAATAAATGAATCCAAAGTATACATGTATTAGTGCTGTAAAAACTTTTTGTTTATTTTTGTTATTGGGTTGCTTTCATTTTAACATTATCAAATACCCTAATTCTCTTGTTAATCTTTGAAAATTGTATATTTCTGTTGTATTGAACTATTTATGATCATTCCTGTGTAAGGAGAGAATGTTCTGTATAAAGGGAGTTAATCATCTTTGACATTTGATGTAATGAGCTATTTTTAATCCTGTATTAGGAGAGAATGTTCTGTACAAAGGTAGACGACTTTATTTTTGTATTAAACTAGACATGCTAGAAATAAATGAATATTGTGCCAAATTAAACACTGAAAAAGAAATTCGACCTTCTCTTTTCTTATCATGGATCCAGATATTGGTTTTTTGTGTCTCACCTATTGCAGTATGCGAGACATAGTCTGGCATAAACTATTTGTATAAAGCTTTTATATTTCAGAAAGTACAAGACCTAGATGCTTCATACCTTGTATGCAGATACCTTATGTTACAAAGTTTTAATTTGTCCATTGTCCTTGACCTCATTTCATGGTTCATCCACTGCTTGAAATAAAATACAGTTTTTTTTGTCATGTGAAATTTACACTCATAATGTAATGAGTAATAGGATAACTGTATTTGGTATATGGGTCCCTTGCAATGTGACAATGTCTGAGAGACATGGTTCTGACCTCGACCTCGTTTCATGGATCAGTGATTAAGGTTAAAGTTACATGATAAGGTCCGTTTCACAGATACTGTAATTAGTAAGTCAATTAAATTTGGTGTATGGAATGATTGTAAGGAGCACATGTAACTTTTTAGCTCACCGGGGCCCAAAGGGCCCCATGTGAGCTTATGCCATCACTTGGCGTCCGTCGTCGTCGTCGTCTGTTGTCGTAAACTATTTAAAAAATCTTCTCCTCTGAAACTACTTGGCCAAATACCTTCAATCTTTAACTAAATGTTCCTTAAGGTATCTAGTTTATAAATTGTATCCGAAGTTTTGATCCATCGACAAACATGGCCACCATGGCTAAAAATAGAACATAGGGGTCAAATGCAGTTTTTTGCTTATATCTCAAAAACTAAAGCTTTTAGAGCAAATCTGACATTGGGTAAAATTGTTCAATTGGTCAAGATCTATCAGCTCTGAAATTTTCAGACGAATCGAACAACCCATTGTTGGGTTGCTGCAACCGAATTGGTAGTTTTAACAAAATTTTGCAGTTTTAGTCTCGCCTTGACGGAGTCAAAAAGCGAGACATAGGTATGCTGTTTCCGGCGTCTGTGACGGTAGCGATGGCGTCAACAATGTATTAGTTTGTGATTAGGTCGAGTTCATGGTGAACCACTAGTGGTAGGTCAATGATATTTGGTATGCAGTTGTATTAGCATTGGCACATCTCATTACCATGGGGATTATTTGGCTCCGCCCCCTCAGTCAAGGTCTATTGACTTTGAAACTTTTCATAGTTTACATGTATTAGTTTGTGATTAGGTCAATTTATAGGGAACCACTAGTGGTAGGTCAATGATATTTGGTATGCAGTTGTAAAAGCAGTGGCATATCTCATTTCCATGGAGATTATTTGGCTCCGCCCCCTTAGTCATGGTCTATAGACTTTGAAAATTTTGCTAAGTTAACATGTATTAGTTTGTGATTAGGTCAGTTCAAGGGGATCCATTAGTGGTAGGCCAATGTTAATTGGTGTTCAGTTGTATAAGCATTAGCACATCTCATTTCCATGGAGAATATTTGGCCCCGCCCCCTCAGTCATGGTCTATTTACTTTGAAACTTTTGCTTAGTTTACATGTATTAGTTTGTGATTAGATCAGTTTAAGATGAACTGCTAATGTTAAGTCAATGATATTTGGTATGCAAATTTATTGGCATTTGCAAGTATCGTTTCCATGAAGATTATATAGCCCCACCCCTGATCATGGTTCATTGACTTTGAAACTTTTACATAGTTTACAAGTTAATGTTTGTCATGTTTGTGTTTAGGTTTGTTTAAAGGGAACGACTTATAATAAGTCAATGGTATTTGGTATGCAGTTGTATTAGCATTGGCACATCTCATTTCATGCAGATTGTTTAGCCATATACCTTCAGTCATGGTTCATCGACTTTCAATATTTGCATAACTTACATGTTAAAGTATTGCTATTTTAATTTCAACATTTGCATTATCAAGATTACAAAAAGGCGAGACATATCTCTGTGATAACAGTTTATTTGTTATTATTTTCAATATTATTATAGATATATATAAACTGTAAGCAGCAATAATGTTCAGAAAAGTAAGATCTACATAAAAGTTAATATGACCATAATTGTCAATTGACCCCTTAAGGAGTTATTGCCCTTTAAAGACAATTTTACACAATTTGTTCATCAAGTTTGCTAACATTTAAAAATCTTCTCCTCTGAAACTACTGGGCCAATTACCTTCAAACTTTAACTAAATGTTCCTTAGGGTATCTTGTTTATAAATTATATCCGAAGTTTGTATCCATTGACAAACATGGCCGCCATGGCTAAAAATAGAACATAAGGGTCAAATGCAGTTTTTGGCTTATATCTCAAAAACTAAATCTTTTAGAGGAAATGTGACATGGGTAAAATTGTTTAATTGGTCAAGATCTATCGGCCCTGAAATTATCAGACGAATCGAACAACCCATTGTTGGGTTGCTGCCACCGAATTGGTAGTTTTAACAAAATTCTGCAGTTTTTTGTTATTATTTTGAATATTATTATAGATATATATAAACTTTAAGCAGCAATTATGTTCAGCAAAGTAAGATCTACAAAAAAGTTAATATGACCATAATTGTTAATTGACCCCTTAAGGAGTTATTGCCCTTTAAAGACAATTTTACACAATTTGTTCATCAAGTTTGCTAACATTTAAAAATCTTCTCCTCTGAAACTACTGGGCCAATTACCTTCAAACTGTAACTAAATGTTCCTTAGGGTATCTTGTTTATAAATTATATCTGAAGTTTGTATCCATTGACAAACATGGCCGCCATGGCTAAAAATAGAACATAAGGGTCAAATGCAGTTTTTGGCATATATCTCAAAAACTAAATCTTTTAGAGCAAATGTGACATAGGTAAAATGTTTAATTGGTCAAGATCTATCGGCCCTGAAATTATCAGACGAATCGAACAACCCATTGTTGGGTTGCTGCCACCGAATTGGTAGTTTAAACAAAATTTTGCAGTTTTTTGTTATTATTTTGAATATTATTATAGATATATACAAACTGTAAGCAGCAATAATGTTCAGCAAAGTAAGATCTACAAAAAAGTTAATATGACCATAATTGTTAATTGACCCCTTAAGGAGTTATTGCCCTTTAAAGACAATTTTACACAATTTGTTCATCAAGTTTGCTAACATTTAAAAAATTTTCCTCTGAAACTACTGGGCCAATTACCTTCAAACTTTAACTAAATGTTCCTTAGGGTATCTTGTTTATAAATTGTATCCGAAGTTTGTATCCATTGACAAACATGGCCGCCATGGCTAAAAATAGAACGTAAGGGTCAAATGCAGTTTTTGGCTTATATCTCAAAAACTAAATCTTTTAGAGGAAATGTGACATGGGTAAAATTGTTTAATTGGTCAAGATCTATCGGCCCTTAAATTATCAGACGAATCGAACAACCCATTGTTGGGTTGCTGCCACCGAATTGATAGTTTTAACAAAATTTTGCAGTTTTTTGTTATTATTTTGAATATTATTATAGATATATATATAAATTGTAAGCAGCAATAATGTTCAGCAAAGTAAGATCTACAAAAAAGTTAATATGACCAAAATTGTCAATTGACCCCCTAAAGAGTTATTGCCCTTTAAAGACAATTTTACAAAATTTGTTCATCAAGTTTGCTAACATTTAAAAATCTTCTCCTCTGAAATACAGGTGAGCGATTCAGGCTCTTGAGAGCCTCTTGTTCATCTGACCGTGACATTATATTCATGGTTCATTTGTCATTGATAAGTTTTTGTGTTTTGTTCTGTTTTTGAAGTACTATAAGCAATAGGTCAATTATATTTGGTGTATGGAATGATTGAAATGTTTAAATGTCTGTCTTGATGGTAACATCTGACCTTGCCCTCATTTTTGTGGTTCTTTTATGTCGTATCACTTACGACAAAATTGACAATAAATGACTACAAAACATATAACAATGTTGTTTACTTTAATTTTTAATTCATTTTACGACAGGTTCCAGAAGTTGGCTATTTTGTCAATTTATGACAGCCCGAGAAAAAATGGCAGAAAGAATGCAAAGAGAAATATGAAAGAGGACGATGTTCTCTCAAGGAAAAGTAATTGTGAGGACTACATCCTCAGTCTTAAAGATGCAGAGTTGGCCATTTATTCTAGCATGAAAAAGAGTAAAAGAAGATCTTCAACTGTGAAGCCAACTCCAAGTACAAGTAAAACGTCCAATGTCACGTGTGGTAGCTTGAACCCCAAATTTCTAGAAAAAAAGTATTTCTTGTGTTTACAATAATATATTCATGGAGATGTTGAAATCCATACAGTCATGCAAGATAACCAGAAAAAGCAAGATAATAGATTCGATTCTTTGAATGATTAAGTCCATAAATTGTATGAGATTGAATAGGATGAGTATGATTATAAATATGATGTTTTAGACAGTAGATATAAAGCTAGATCAGATGAAAATAATATTGATGTGCAAGGCACAACAAAAGATTCAGAACAGTCAGTGATTGTAATGGGTACATGTCAGTCTGGCAGGCTTAATCTGACCTTGACGTTATTTTAATGGTTCATTGGTTAATATTTAGTGTTTGCGTCTGGATTTCAAGTACTATAAGTAATATGTCAACTAAATTTGATGTATGGAATGATTCTAAGATGTACATGTCGGTCTAGCTGGTATCATCTGACCTTTACCTCGTTTTCATGGTTCAGTTATCAATGTTTAGTTATTGTGTTTCGGTATGATTTTCAAACACTAATAACAATAGAACTGCTATATTTGATGAAAGATGTACATGTTGGTCTTGGAAAAACCATATGACCGTGACCTCATTTTCATGGTCCATTGGTCAATGTTATAATTTGTTTTGTTTGGTCTGTTTTTCAATTACTAAAAGCAATAGGTCATTCATGTTTGGTGTATGTGTTGATTGTATAGTTCAATAAATGTTTGATAGGAATTATCTGATTTTGACCTCATTGTTGAATTTTTTAACACGATTTTTTTTTAAATGGTCAATAAAGCAGGCGAGACTATTTAGTACTTGCACTCTTGTTCAAATTCCAAAAACACTAGGTCAACTATATTCAT